TTTTAATTTATTTTAGTTCATTTGATTTTATTGTTAGTTAGTTTTATTACATAAGTGCATATTTTAGTTACTTAAATCCTTAAATTGAATTCTATTGCAGAAGTGCATGCCAAGATCTGCTGAAGGAGATCTACTCCCAACCGACCTAGAGATCGAACGATGTTTCAGAAGGCAGAGAGAAAACAGAGCAGCGAGAAATCAGATGGAGAACGTACAACACGATCCTGTTGTACATGCCAATGAAAGAGGGGAAGAAGACGAAGGAAACATGCTCGTTGGAGAGTTCATGACCCCTCAAATCATTCAAAACCAGTCCAGCATTGTGTATCCACCGTTCGGGCAGCCAAATTTTCAGTTGAAGACAAATGTGATACAACTGTTCCAGAACGGACATCAGTTTTATGGAAGAGTTGAAGAGAACCCGCACACGCATGTCTCGCGCTTCTTAGAGATGTGCCAGCACTTCAGATATCAAGGAATCTCTGACGACGCCATAAGATTAAGACTGTTTCCACATACTCTGCGGGACAAGGCGATTGAATGGCTTGATTCTCAGCCGATAGCCAGCATTACTACCTGGAATGACCTAGCTTAGAAGCTCTGTACTAAGTTCTTCCCATCGGCCAAGATTGCAAAGCTAAAGCACGACATATCTATCTTCAGGCAAGGTGAATCTGAAAATTTTGATGAGACTTGGAACAGATTCAAAAATCTACTAAGGAAGTGTCCACGCCACGGGATTAGCAAGGGATTTCAAGTCCAATATTTCTATGCAGGACTACTTCCAGCTTTCAAGAGCATGGTCGACTCTTCAGCTAATGGGTCATTGTCCACAAAAATAATTGATGAAGCATTGAAGTTATATGAGACAATGGCTACAACCTCAGCAATGTGGACCATGGAACGGGCAGTACCAAAGAAGACACCAGGAGTTTATGAAGTGGATGTATATTCAGCGTTATCTGCTAAGATTGATTCTTTATTTCACAAGGTGGAAAACATTACCCAGTCAGCTAACGCAGCGCAGGCAAAGAAGGCAAATTGTGAGGAATGTGGAGCTGAGCATGTAACAGCAGAATGCCCAATTTTGACACAAGGAAAAGAGCAAGCAAATTTTGCTCAATGGGGACAACGCCAGCAGAATAATGTGTATGGAGAGACCTTCAACCCAAGCTGGAAAAAGCACCCCAACTTTTCTTGGAACAACCAAAATCAGAACAGGCCACAAGGGCAATATCAACAGTAAGAGAAGAAGCCTCAATTGGAAGAAATGTTCGGCAAATTCATGGAAGACCAACCAATATATAGAGACGAACAACCAATTCATGAAGAAGACAGAAGCCAATCTTCAGGACCAGAATGCAGCCATTAAGAATTTGGAAACTCAGATGGGACAGATGGCAGTTGCATTAATAGGAAGAGCACCAGGCAGCCTGCCAAGTAACACAGAAGTCAATCCGAAAGAGCATGCAAAGGCTATAACAATGAGAAGTGGAGTGGAATTGCCTGAGAGACAAGTGAATAATCCCGTGGCAAACAGATAAGAGGTGTCTCTTGAAGTAGAAAAGATTTTGGAGCAAGAAAAACAGATAAAAGAGCCAACACCGAGAGCAAATAAAGAAAACTCAAGGGATAAAGAAACTGTAGCTGTGAACCCCTATGAGCCACCCATACCGTTCCCACAGAGGCTGAAGAAGCAAAAGTTGGAACAGCAATACAAGAAGTTTCTCGAGGTCTTCAAGAAGCTCCATATTAACATCTCATTCGCTGAAGCACTGGTTCAGATGCCTAGCTATGCAAAATTCCTGAAAGACATCCTATCAAACAAAAGGAAGCTAGGAGATCACGAGACAGTTATGCTAACAGAGGAGTGCAGTGCCAGGATTCAGAGAAAGCTCCCGCCAAAATTGAAAGATCCAAGGAGTTTCACTATCCCTTGTACCATTGGTGAATTTTATTTTGATAAAACTTTATGCAATCTTGGTGCAAGTATTAACTTAATGCCATTGTCTGTTTTCAGGAAATTAGGATTGGGAGAAGCTAAAGCTACCACGGTGACCTTACAGCTGGCTGACAGATCATTGACACATCCACGAGGAATAATTGAAGACGTGTTGGTTAAAGTGGAGAAGTTCATATTCCCAGCAGACTTTCTGATTCTGGATATAGAAGAAGATAAAGATGTTCCTTTGATACTGGACAGACCATTCTTGGCCATAGGCAGAGCTTTGATCGACGTTCAGAATGGGCAGTTGATACTGAGATTGGGAGAAGAACATGTTTCATTCAATGTCTTCAAGGTCATGAAACTGCCAATAGAGACTGACAGATGTTTCAGGGTTGACATGATTGATAAAATGATTGAAGAGTCATTTATATTGCAAAATTCATCAGATGCATTGGAAGCCTGCATTGCACATTCTAAATCCACAAATTCTGATTCTGTGGACATAAAAATGTGTGCAAGATTTTTGGAGTCCAACCCACTTTACACGCGGAAACGATACTTTGAGGAGTTTGGGACAGGGCCAGAGAAATCACAGACATCTATTCTGAAGCCACCAAAGTTGGAACTTAAGTAGCTGCCCCTACACTTAAGATAATCATATTTGAGGGAGTTCAATACACTTCCAGTGATAATTTCAAACATAGTTAGTGAAGTGGAGGAAGAAAAACTGCTTAGGGTGTTTCGAGATAACAAGCAAGCAATTGGATGGACCATAGCTGATATCAAAAGGATCAGGCCTTCCTTATGTATGCATAAAATTCTCATGGAGGAGAATTTTCGACCAACAGTTGAAAGTTAAAGAAGGCTAAACCGAAACATGAAGGAGGTAGTAAGAGCTGAGGTGATCAAACTTCTGGATGCTGGAATAATCTACCCGATATCAGATAGTAAATGGACTAGTCCAGTGCAAGTTGTGTCCAAGAAAGGAAGAATTACAGTGGTTCAGAATGAAAAGAATGAGTTGATTCCGACAAGGACGATAACAGGGTGGAGAGTTCGCATTGATTACCGCAAACTAAATACCGCTACAAGGAAGAATCATTTTCCTCTTCTGTTTATAGATCAGATGTTGGAGAGATTGACAGGTCATTCCCACTACTGCTTTCTGGATGGGTATTCAGGTTATAATCAGATACCAGTGGCACTAGATGATCAGGAGAAGACCACCTTCACATGCCCCTATGGTACCTTTGCATACCGAAGAATGTCATTTGGACTTTGCAACGCTCCTGCCATATTTCAGCAATGCATGATGGCAATTTTCTCAGATATGGTAGAGAAATTCATTGAAATCTTTATGGATGACTTTTCGATCTTTGGGACTTCATTTGATGAGTATTTGGATTACTTAAATTTGGTTTTGCAAAGATGCAGAGAAACGAACTTAGTGAAACAAACTTAGTATTGAACTGGGAGAAATGTCATTTCATGGTTCAAGAGGGAATAGTCTTGGGACATAGAGTATCGGCAAAGGGGATAGAGGTGGATAAGGCGAAAATTCAGGTTATTGAGAAATTACCACCACCTACATTCATAAAAGGAGTTCAAAATTTCCTTGGGCATGCAGGGTTTTACAGGAAGTTTATAAAAGACTTCTCCAAAATCACCAAACCTCTGTGCAACTTGCTAATGAAAGAGGTATCTTTTGAGTTTGATGAGGAGTGTTTGATAGCGTTCAATACTTTGAAGGAAAAACTCACAACAGCGCCTGTGATTGTGTCACCTGATTGGGATTTGCCCTTTGAGCTAATGTGCGATGCGAGTGATCATGCAGTTCGTGCGATATTGGGATAAAGAAAGAATAAAATCTTTCATGTGATTTACTATGCAAGTAGAACTTTGAACGACGCCCAAATCAACTATGCTACGACCGAGAAGGAATTGCTAGCTGTGGTTTATGCATTCGACAAGTTCAGATCGTATCTTGTTGGGTCTAAGGTTATCATCTACACAAATCATGCCACTCTAAAGTATCTTATGACAAAGAAGGATGCTAAGCCGAGATTGATCCGTTGGATATTGTTGTTGCAAGAATTCGATATTGAGATCAAGGATAAGAAGGGCAGTGAAAATGTGGTAGCCGACCACCTATCAAGATTGGAACGGGATGAACCTGAGATGTCGGTTGACATCAATGAAATCTTTCCAGATGAGCAAATTTTTGGAGTAGAAATAGTCCCATGGTACGCTGATATCGTTAACTACCTTGCTAAGTCCATCCCGCCATCAGAGTATTCTAGCCATCAAAGAAAGAAGTTCTTCGCAGAGCTGAAGTATTACTTTTGGAAGGATCCCATTCTCTACAGAAGAGGCACAGATTAGATAATCAGAAGATGTATTCCTGAAGATGAAGTACCTAAGATTCTAGAACATTGTCACTCTTCTGCATATGCTGGGCATTTTGGAGCTTCAAAGACTGCTGCAAAGATACTACAGGCGGGTTTCTATTAGCCTACTTTATTCAGAGGCACGTTCGAGTATGTGAAGAGATGCGATAAATGTCAACGAATCGAAAATATCTCAAGAAGAAATGAGATGCCACTAAATTACATCTTGGAGGTTGAAATATTTGATGTATGGGGAATAGATTTCATGGGACATTTTCCCCCATCGTACTCAAATCAATATATCTTGGTGGTCGTTGACTATGTCTCTAAGTGGGTAGAAGCTGTTGCATTGCCTACTAACGACGCGAAAGTGGGAGTTCTTGAAGAAGTACATATTTACAAGATATGGTACACCGAGAGCAATAATAAGTGATGGGGGCAAACACTTCTTAAATCGTCAATTAGAGCAGCTGTTGAACAAATATGGGGTGAAACATAAAGTAGCAACTCCATATCATCCACAAACCAATGGGCAAGTTGAAGTTTCGAACAGGCAGTTAAAGAGAATACTGGAAGTTACAGTGAACTCATCCCGAAAAGATTGGTCTAAGAAGCTTGATGATGCACTGTGGGCTTACAGAACAGCATTTAAGACACCAATAGGAATGTCTCCATACCGCCTGATTTTTGGGAAAGCGTGTCATCTACCATTGGAGTTGGAGCATCGAGCATATTGGTCTATGAAACAGTTGAATATGGATCTCAAAGCTGCTGGTGAAAAACGACTGCTGCAACTTAATGAATTGGATGAGATGAGAATGGAAGCTTATGAGAACTCAAAGTTGATCAAGGAGCGCACCAAGAGATGGCATGATTTAAACATTCAGAGTCGAGAGTTTGAAGTTGGCCAGAAAGTGTTATTGTACGATTCTAGACTCAAACTCTTCCCAGGAAAGCTAAGAACAAGGTGGTTGGGTCCCTATACCATAACTAAGGTGATGCAATATGGGGCTATTGAAGTGAGTCACGGGACCAAATGCACTTTCATCGTCAATGGGCAAAGACTGAAACATTATTGGGGCTGTAATTTCCCTAAGCAGAAGTCCACTGTACAACTCAACAACCCAACGTGAAGAAGATAAAGGAAAGTCGAGCTATCGACTATAAACTAGCGCTGGGTGGAAGGCAACCCACTGTATCCTTCAATTTATTTTACTGCATTTGTTTAGGAATTTGTTTACATTTCATATTTTTATTAGGTCATTGATCATTCACGCATGATAGTCTAGGCACTACACATTTATAGTTGCATGAGTCGGGGTTAAAGAAAGTGTTTTGGGTGTTTGAGTGTGAAGTAATGAATTTTGTGGTTCAATGTCGTTCGTTTTATTTTTCGAGATATAAAAAAAAATTGGAATATGTAGAGTCGAGTCAATTTTGAATTTGAAAACCAATGTAGGGGGATTTTTAAAATTCATAGTGTGTTTGGGGTTAAAATTATAAGTTTGTTTTTTTAATTAAAAAAAATTTTGGGTTTTGTCCATGCGGCCGCATGGACAAGGGGTCTATGCGGTCGCATGGACCCTAACCAAAAGTAAATGGCGGAAAACCAAGTACACCATGCGGCCACATGGTGTCTAAGTGACGGGTTTTAAACCTATCACTTCCAAATCCACCCCAAACCCTCCCCAAAACACCTCCACACGAGCACATGCCTCTCCCTCCCTCCAAATCCACCTTCACACACAACATCAATCACCAACACTCTTGCACATCTTCACCCTAACCCCACATTATTCCCAACATTGGCATATATTATCAAGAATTTTGGAGCAAATCTTTTACCTTCCTTTCACAAAGATCTCAAGGTAAGAAATTGAATTTCTATGCAAAGTTTAAAGTTCTTCTTTGATTTCATTACATTTTCGAATTGGGTAAGTGGTGAATTGTGATTAAATTGTGATTTGTGGACTAGCCCTAAGTGTAAATCAAAAACAAAGTGAGGCGTACTAGATGAGAAATCTCATTGAATTTCATTGGAAAACGTTTGCCTCACATATATGTGCACATAACCACATAAATTGCTAAGCCATGTCAACTCACGTCACTAACTTCGTCCATGTATTTTCCTAACCAAACGACCTCCGATTGTAGTGAAATTTGGATATATGCTAGACCACAATGAGTACTTTCATATGCCCGGACCTTGTCCAGGGAAATTTTAATATTTCTCGATGATGCTTGGAGCTGAAGTTGGTCACTTAATCATGGGTCGAATTTTCAAAAAGTGCATAATAGAGCCATAGTTTTGAGTTTTTCTCATTAATGCAATATTGATGTTACATTAACTTTCATGTGTTGAATATTGAACACATTTTGAAGAAAGTTTGGGGGATTTGTGCATGACAATGATATTCTTTATCGTTTTCTTATTTCAAGAACTTGATGCACTTCGTTCCTTAATTGTGTAGGATGCCGCCGAAGAGAACATCAAAAGGTAAAGAAAAAGTTGGTTCATCCTCTGACAAAGCCCGCACCAGAAAGGTAATAGGAGGTGTGTGAAGATTTCGTGATGCAGAAACATTAGCTCGATATGAGAACATAATACGCCATTGGGGCATGATACCAGAGAGACAGGTCTGGTTAGATGATTTCCGTGGTTTTGAGTTGACAAATCTGATACAAATTTGTGGATGGGAGAAGATTGTAGAAAAGCCACACCCGATTTATGAAAGTATAGTCCGCGAATTTTATGCAAACTTCAATAGTGAAATTGAGACACCGGGTTCTGAACACTTACACCAAACGTGGGTGTGAGGTAAGTGGATAATGTTCTCCCCAGCCATCATTCATGATTCTACAATCTTAATTTGGACAATGTGGTCCAGATTCCCACTCAATTCAATTGGAATGAAGTGGCGGAGGTTCTCTTGGGAGGAGAGAATGCTTTGCCCCTACCCACTGCAGAGTGGCATCAAATTGAGCTTACTCCCTCCATAGCCATCCTTTGGGTCTTCATGTGCCATAATATCGAACCCACATCGCATCTGACAACTTTCACGGATTAGACTACTGGGTTCATATATCATTTAGTCCAGGGATGCAAAGTTGATTTGGCTACTCTTATTTTTGACCAGATACAAAATTTGGGAACCTGGGGAGATAGACGGTCTTCGATGATTTTCCCTAGTTTGATTAGCGGGATATGTCTTGCCGCCAGTGTTACAGTTGAGGCAGGGAAGATGCCTGAGAAATCCAGCCCATTGATAATGCTCACCACATTTGAAGCTCAGGAACGAGCTAGGGTAAGGAAGAAAGAACAAGACAGACTTGAGCAGCAGAGATAAAATACGCAGGAAGAAGGACAAGCTGCTGAAGATTTACACTTACCACAATCCCAGCCACAACCAGTTGAGATGGACTCGCAACTACTTCGACAGATATTTGCCACAGCCACTGGAACTAGCAGGGATATACAAAATCTCCAGCAGAGGTTCGAGACGATGACCACCACTGTTGAAAAAGTGCAGAAAGATCTCTACTCCTCCCGAGACTACACAAAAGGTGCTTTGAGTGAAGCCACATCTGCAAGAAGGGAAGTAGAGACTATGAATGGTAGGTTCAACATGTACGTTGAGAAAATGGATGGCATACAGTAGCGTGTGAACGAAACTTGGGATCGCTTGGGAAATATGGAAAATAGTCTTCAAGCCATTCAGACCGAGCAAGCACAGCAGTCTGAGTTGCTGAGACAAGTCCTATCTCGCCTCCCACCTCCTCCTGAAGATGATGCTGCGGGTCCCAACTTCACACTACAGCCACCGAATTGATCAGGAGAGTTTTGTTAATCTCTTATTGTCAAGTTGTGTCCATGTTTTAAATTCTGCCATTTTAACTTTACATTTTATATTGAGGACAATGTATTGTATAAGTTTGGGGGATGGTAGCATAATTTCAAACAAGTATTCGGCATGTAATTATTTTGCATATTCACAATCCATCGTTAATTTTGACATGTTTTTACATGATGCATGTTTGATGAGTGAATCTTTATGAACGTTTGCATGCTTGTGTGGGTTTGGTAGCCTTGCCGGCTATGATGTGATTATTGGACATGTATAAGCTAGAAACTGTGGATTTAGTGCAGGATTTAATTTGCTAATATTTGTTGATGCGTTGCTTGACACTCTTTTGCACGCCACTCATGTCACGTGTTAAGTTATTGATTGAAATTTTAGAATAAATTAGGAGAAAACTAGAATAACCCTTTATGACATTAACCCGTAATATCACTTTAAGATAGTTTGGAGATGATTGAGCCATTGTAGGAAAACATGGAGATAAGTGGGGGCTCCGTGTATGAAATTATAATGTGTGGATCGTTTAAACCCGGAAGGTGAGAAATAGGTGAAAGCTTTAAATGAGGATGGTTTTAGAAGTCAAATGTCTAGAAAAACAAAGAAGGGGCATAAAGTAAAAGATGAAAAATTATCACTTCTCTCAAAAAGCCTTTATGACTCGAGCAAGTAAGTCTGTAAGGATTTAAAATCTGATGCCCTAATACCAACTGATTTGGGAGTCATCGGTTTAAAGCTCGTTACATAGGTCATATAGAAAGCAAGAAAAAGGAGAATTGATAAAAAGTCATCTTATCAAGCCTTTATAACTCGAGTGAATAAGACTGCAAGGGTTTAAAATCTGGTGCCCTAAAGCCAACTGGTTTGGGAGTCATCGTCTAAAGCTCGTTACATGAGTTATATAGAAAGCAAATGAGAAGATGACACAAAAAAAAGCTCTCATTGGACATTTGGTTGATAGAATTATAACCTCAATGCGAGGCAAGTAGCTTAGTTTAATCCTAAAGGTTGAAGCAATCAAAATAAGGAGAGTCTCTACTTGTTGATATGTGAACTTGTAATGGTAAAATCTATCCAAACTAAGAGAGGATAAGGATTAGAATTGTTTAAACTCCTAACCTTAGAATACACCCTGGGGAAATTGTGTGAAAAGAATACATTTGGGGATTGTATATTTCTCGAGTGACGTAATGATAAAATTTGACCACTATGGGTCTGGGATAAACTAATCATAAGCTTGATATATTGGCATGAGTTCACACACACACGTTGAGTATTGCATTTGATGAGTAAAGGTTGATTCAAATCTCGCACTCTTGATATTGTTTCTATTATTACTAAGTCCAATCCTAAGACACGGCAAGCTATTAAGCCATGTTTGTTTAGCATTAAATCACTACATTGTTTGATGACAAACAATAGTTTAAGTTTGGGGGATTTGATAAGTGTGTTTTTACACACTTATTTAGCTCACAAATATGACGTAAACATGGATAAAGTAGTTGAATTGTAACTTAATCTAGTTAAATTCATGCAATCTAGGTGTTTCTATGGAAAAGATGAAATTTAGAAGAAAAGAGCCGAAAAAGGACCAAAACAGAACAAAGCGATAATTCGGGACCAAAGGTGCAAATATTGGAAAGTTGAGCTAAGTGCAGAACTAGAATGAAAATATACCAAGTATGAGATTGAGGACGATACAAGACGATCGGAGGAAGAAAGAAGTAACATTGGATTGAATTGAAGAAAAGTGAAAAATGAAGGACTAAATTGCAATTAATCAAAAGATGAGCCGAGCAAATGATCAAGGAATCGATTGACCCAAACATCAATTAGGAGTCAATATTTGATAGTGGAACAAAGGAAAGAAAGAAAAGAGATCAAGAAAAGAGAAAACAGAGTTCAGGGACCAAAATGGCAAGGTTGTAAAGTTACAACCTTGAGGCCGCATGTAACTATACCATGCGGCCGCACATGATCTAGCAGGGATTTTTTTTGGCTGAAAATTTGAACCATGCGGCCGCATGGCTTTAAGTTCGAAAAAAATCTGAACTTCCGTTTTTAATTGAAACTCTTTCGGGGTTCCGTGAGGACATGATATAAAAGACAAAATTCATTAGAAATAGGGCAGAACGTCCAGGGAGAAGAAGAATACAACTTTTGGAGGCAAGGAACACGAACTTGAAGTCGATTTCACAAGGATTCAAGCGGGTTTTCAAGGTTTTATTCAAGAATTCAAGATTTCAAGAATTTTCATACGGGTGCTATTCTTTCTA